TAGAGTGATTATTAATAAACTTTGGTAATGTTTATAACTGCGGTAGTGATTATTTTTAAAAATATTTTTTTAAATTTATTTTTAATATTATTATATCAAATCAATTTAAAATTATATAAAAAAATCAAATTACAGGTTAGGCGGCTGAAATGCCTAAATGAGCTGGTGAATCTCACTCTCTCCATCTTTTTTCCTTCCTCACCATCCACACATGACAAGGAAGATAAAGCATTGCATTTACTTTGTGTTGTGATTTATGCATAAATCAAAGACACAAAAATAAACTGTAATCTACATGAAAGACAATTTTGATAATTCTTTTCATTGAAAGTAAACTGATTTATGCATATAGATCTAAAATGCATAATTCTTTTCATTGAAATTAATTATTTTATTTTTTTTAATTTTTATATAAAATTTTGAAATTAATCATTGTTTTATTTTTTATATGTTTTAGTCAAAATTAACATGAAATGATTTTTTTTTTGGTGATTTACCTTTCATGTGACGCTAAGTTTTTACATAATAAATTACCGTTTTAGTAAGCAAAACATTTTTTTAATAATAAGAAAAACACTTGATCAAGATTTATATTTTTAGCTATTTTTTATGTTATTTTTTAATCATTTGAATCCCTGCAAATGTTTATTCTAATCGTGTTGGATTTTTATTAAAAAAATCATGCTATTTATAAAACAAATATTTGAATTTATCAAAACAAGAAAATAAATAATTTGGCAATAAAATGAAATTAATTCTGACTATAAAATATATTTTTTCTATAATTTAGATCATTTTAATTATTGAAAATATTTTCTTTGATTATTATATAGTTAAATCAAAATAGGTTTTGATAGCAGTGCACGAGTTTATCCTATAATAAATTATTTTATGTAAAACATAATTTAAATAATCTCACATATCCTATTTGCATTTGCTTACGAGGAGCCAAGATAAACCCTAATTTTCGAAAAAGATAATTTTAGTGTTAAATCTTAGTAAATTTACCTTCACTCTACATGTAATTTTCTGCCTTAAAATTGTTATTCAGTGTCATGTTAGGGAATATAGTCCAATATTAATTACAATTTATGCAGAATTTATAAACTATGACTTGATAATGAGTTAATATGTTAGGGCAAGATTGGGTTTCCTTGAATTAAAAATTATTGAATCTCAAATATTGAAGAACATTTTAAATTCTAATAATAATAATAATAATAATAATAATAAAAATGATCCATTAATTTCAAATTAAACAAAAAAAGGTAATAGTTTCTGTTAAGTTTAACACATCACTATATTTTTAGCACTTTAAATATTATTTTATAAAAATTATTTTTCTATTTAAGAAAGAAATAAATTTGATAAAATCAATATGTTTTGATCTATAATTTTAGATTATAGAAAATGTAAGATCGATAATAAAATGTTATTATGGCAGGGTTATAATGTTTGATTCATTTATTCATTTTAGATTTATTTTTTTAATTTTATATTATTAAAAACCTGTTTAAAATTATAATAATAATTGCTTTTTAATTTATAATTATATTAATGAACTTCATCGTTTTATTTTGTGCCCTTTTTATTTTTCTTGAATAAATACAAATACCTCTCACAAATTTTATTTTTTAAAATATTTAAAAATTCATAATATTCTAAAAAATTTATTATGCACTAATATAATAACTCATTCAAAACCTTTATAACCAAGACATTTATCTCACAAATATTTTCATAAATTCTCAATAATATCTCAGTTTCATCTATTTAATCTTCAAACATCTCAAAAGGATAACAAAACCGAATTAGTGCAAAAGTTTCATGAATGAGTTATGATTAATGTTTTTGTCTTGATTATGTGTTGTACCATCATCACATGAGCATGAAAAAAATACAATTCGATGTGTTGGGCTGGGCTTGGGTTGAATCTAAAACCATCACCAAAGAGGTCCTGGTTATCTCTACTCAGCCTTAATAATTCTAGGGTTTATAATGAAAATAGGGTTTTGGAGCACCTCTGAAACAGAGAGAGCAGACTAGATAGACGGCTGCCAGAAACCATGAAGACAATTCTGTCGTCTGAGACCATGGACATCCCCGATGGGGTGAAAATCAAGATCAGTGCTAGGATCATAGAAGTGGAAGGCCCAAGAGGCAAGCTGAGCAGGAATTTCAAGCATCTGAATCTTGATTTCCAGCTGATCAAAGACGAGGAAGGGAAGAGAAAGCTGAAGATCGATGCGTGGTTTGGAACAAGAAAGACCAGTGCTGCTATCAGGACTGCCCTGAGCCACGTGGAGAACTTGATTACTGGGGTTACCAGGGGGTACAGATACAAGATGAGGTTTGTGTACGCTCACTTTCCCATCAACGCTTCCATCACTAACAGCAACACTGCTATCGAGATCCGGAACTTTCTCGGCGAGAAGAAGGTAAGAATTTATTCCCAAGTTTTGTTTTTTCTGCGTCGTCTGATATTCCCGGTGTGCTGGTATAAGAGATCTGGTCAAGGGTTTTTCATTTTTGTTGGTTGACTTTGTGGCTAGAAATCTTTGCGAGAAAGTTAAAATGTGAATAATGGTGGTGAAAGTTTTACTTTTGGGTTCCGGCAGCATGAAATAAAATTTGCAATTGGTGAATTGGTAGAATATTACTGGAAATACAGTGAGGCTAAGTGAAAGCCTGGTCGTGTTAATAATCTAGATGCTGTGATTAGTGGAAAATGAAACTTAGTTTTAGGATCTTTTTATATGAGAGAATTGACGTGAGTTTTTAGAATTGATAATGCAGGATGCCAGTTTTTACTAATTTATCTTACTAGCTAAGTGTTCGGAATTAAATGTTGTGATTTGGTGATGATTTCATTTTACGCGGTCTGTTGTGCTAAGTGTATGGAATCTAGTGTGCTATTTCAAATCTCGTTTGAGTCTTATAATACAGCAAGCTCGGTTTCTAGGGCCCAAAGGATTGGGCTTTTTATATTTTTCTTTGGATGCTCCAACATGCAAGTATGGAATAATTGGTTGTTACTGATAGCTGTATTCTATTTAATTGAAATGAAGATTGGTTTGATTATGGGATCTGGGATTAAGTTTCTGTTTCATGGATACGAGTCGTTGTAGATTGGTGGTATGGAATGACTGGTTGTTACTGATAGCTGTATTCTAATTATTTGAAATGAAGATTGTTTTGATTATGGCTTCTGGGATCAAGTTTCTGTTTCATCATGGATAGGAGTTATTGTAGAATTGCAGTGCTTGCAATATGGTGACAAAATGCAGACTTTGTGGTGTAGATTGGCGTGAAATCAGCTTCGGACATGTTGTGATGTTGTTGTAGTCGTTTTCTACAGGTTAGGAAGGTTGATATGCTTGAAGGGGTTAGTATTCTCCGATCTGAAAAGGTGAAGGATGAGCTGGTCCTAGATGGCAATGATATTGAGCTTGTTTCACGGTCGGCAGCTTTGATCAACCAGGTCTCTCACTCTCTCTTTTCGTGTGTGTGTGTGTGCGTGCGTGCTAGCATTTCTGTACATGTTAGAATATGTAATCATGAGCATTAAGCACATTTTAGTATTCTTTCATGCGCAATATAGAGTTCTTGTTCCTGTGGATGAGAAAGATGCATCCTCAGTCACTTACATTGCTTTCATGCTCTTACCTCCTCTATTTTGTACAGAAATGTCATGTCAAGAACAAGGATATCCGAAAATTTCTTGATGGTATCTACGTCAGTGAGAAGGGCACTGTGGTTGAGGAAGAATGAGGAGCCATTCCAGTTGCATCAACATGGTGGGATTTCCGTTCAAGCTTCTTTTTTAAATCTTTTGGGTTTTGAATTTTTTTTCAAATTATAACATCAGTTGGTTATTTGCTAGAGTTTCTGTTCTTAGAAGTTTTGTTATGTTATGGGATTGCTTTTGTATTTTCTTGCTATGCCCCTGTAGTACAAATATGTCTTACATGATGAAGGCAAGGAGGTAGACACGAGTGGATGTTTTATATTTTTTTTATCTGAAGAATCTTTTTGAACAACATATTATAGAACTCGTTTTTCTTTAATTTGAAGAAAGCTCAGGCGGTCGCGGTTATAACTGTTGAGAAAAGAGGTCAAAGCTTCATGTAGCAGTCTACTTCGCTATTTTTGCCTTCACGTTTACTATCTATAATCCACTTAAAATCTGCTTTGCAATGCATCTCTCTTCCCCGGTTTGCAAAGTTAATGAATAGAGGTGAAATAGGAAATAAAATTGAATGCTATCCATGTTAAGAGTATTAGAATTGAACCTTAGATCATGCCTATCATCCAGCTCCACTTGCTCCTCCAAATTTGTCAGTATAGAACCTCGAAGAAGAGGTCGGAGGAACTTACTGTTTTGGGCAGCCGAAAATTCGTAAGAGTTTTTCCTTGTCGCTTGCAATTAAATCAGCCAACTCAAGGTGTTTCGACGGCAATGACAATTGCAAGGATCTTCAGTCCACGGAAAATGATCTCCCTCTTGCAGTCAAAGCTCCGACTGCTATCAATGCCAATCAAACAATAGGAAGAGGTGCATGCACCTAGAAGGCTAGATGCCACCATGGCTTAATTCTATAGGAGGAGGAGGGCGTTACGTCACGATTCCTCCTCTGCAAGATCCCCTTGCCGTCAAGGTTCTTTTTTCGTTTTTCAAAGAAGCTCAATTGTATTTCTGTGGGCGGTGAGTAGCCAATAGCCACCACAGCCCATTGGTGCCTTATTGCTGTAAATCAGAAGGCAGAGACGGTTAGCTCTGGCTGTGTGCCATCTGGTACATAACAGGTCCCATTGGCATATCATGTCATCCAACATTGGCAGACAAGCACCATTCACGTGGCGAGTCAGAAAGCTCTTAAGGGTTCCATGATTAACAACATTTGTTTTCAGACATTTAAAAAACGGAATGCCACGCTGAATCACACCAAAACCAGCAGCTCCTCCTCTCAAATCAATGTCTTTTCAAGTGAAAAAATCATGGTGTACTTGAGAGAAAATGTAAAATGATTTCATAGCTAGCAACTAATGACCATTCGAACCAACTTTCAGAGAATTAATTGCCGCTACCAAGCTCTGGATAGATCAGGAATTTAAGAAGTGACCCTCTACATAAATTATGCAAAGGAAAACACATGAACTGCCAGCATGGGCATGCGATGGTCCCAAAACACCGAGGGCTTATGGCCCCACGCTTCAGAAAATTTGTCCTTAGCACTCAGTTGAACTGCAATGAGATTACACCATTCCACTCGGTACTGTTCTGTTGCCTTCTGAGCAAGGCAATTCCATTTCTGTTTCCTTTTCCTAATAAATTCCTTGCGGGGGGTGTTCGTGTATTTGTGCCACACCTTCTTCTTGCCTTGATTTGATTAGAAAGTTCTAGTAGACTTGGATTGGTAGCCTCCTGAACTCAAGTGGACCGTATTAGGCCATATCAACTTAGCGGGCACAAAAGCCATTCGTGTATTTACTATTGTGGGGCCTAAATTTTGAACTCTCTTCAGTCCAGTCCCTCTATAGTATACCATAGATTCATAAGACCCCCCCTCCTCATTAAATACCTAGCAAAGATTGATGTAGATGGGGCCTAAAGAGGTGTCTCCATCTCTCTGAAATCCTCGAGCACTTCCCTTACTTACCTTCTCCTACCACATCCAATAAACCAGTCAGCATTTCTGTATTTTTCCTAAGCTGTAATGCTTTCCCTGCAACAGCCCTCATCAACTTATCCACTCGTTTTCACTCTTCAAAAAGACAAAGTAACGTAAGCACCCTCTCTGGGTCCATGTACTCAGTATGTTTATCTCATCATCATGCTCCTTGGATAAACACTCATATGTTGTCTTGGCTAGCAAGACGGTAAGATCTTGGTCGATGAAAGATTTGATTTTGCATAGTTTAATAATTTCCTTTGTCTAAAAGATGAGGATATAAAAAACAGGAACACCGCGTCTCAGGACAGGACATAAGAGATGGAGACAACAAATCTCCAGTGAAACATGTTTATGTATCTATTATCAACACTAACAAAGATCATGCTTCATCATGTGTATAGAAATTAATGGTTGCCAAGCCTATCACGCTTAGTGGCAAAAATTAAAGCAATCAACTTGTTTAATGGGCAGATCATAAGCATCTAATCATCGACAACCATCCAACCACGCATCACTAATGCTCTTATTAATGCCATATCTATCTTGATCATCATTGACCTTATCATAATATTCATTCAAGAGGCAATCATGTGGAGCTCACATCAACCCTCCTTGCAAATGGTACCTTGCCTGTACATGATTTTAACTATTTTGTAATATCGATCTATCAAAATAATTCAAAAATATCTAATAAATTATTGTTTATCAGGCGTAGATAAGATGGAGAACAGAGAGCCGAGCAATATTTTATTATTTTTATTGGTGAAGTGACATTTTCTTTTGGTGGTGGAGGGACAGTTACTGATGAGGGTCTGCTTTAAAATGGGTTCAAGAAAAATATTAGGTGTGCTGTAAAAGCCATGGAGGAAAAGAAAAAACCACAAGGACCCCACATGGAACCGTTTCTTTTTCTATTTTTTGATCGAACCGTTTCTTTTGTTAAATTGTGCATTGACAGTAGTTTTCGCATCAAAGGGAAAGTAACTGTGAAAAAACCATTCTTGAAAACTTGGGGCATAGCTAGTGAGCTGTCGGAAGCGCAAGATGAGATGGTACGGGAAGAACCTATCTTGATAAATTTTTTAAATAAATTTATTCATTTAAAAAGATATAAAAATAATTTGTTTTAAATATTTTTATATAAACATCTCAAAACTATTAAAATATATTTTAAAATAATTTAATATGTTTTAATGTTAATTATATATTTGAAATGCAATCAAATACATGTAGAAATATAATGCGAAATACCCTCTAAAACTGTTATAGAAATATTTTTATGTTTTTTTTCTTAATTTTGAATTATTAATCAAACGCAATATTGTATTAACTGAGAAAGAATTAATAATCTTATTATCCTAATATATACGAAAACTGATACGAGAATACTAAAATGATACGAAAATACGCAATTATTTTTAAAAAATAAAAAAACCTCGAGTGCTGGAATGCATTTCTTGATGCCTATAAAATCATCTCGGTCTTTACTTCCACGCAATCTCTCCCTTCTTCTTTCCTTGTGGAGCTGATAAATCCATCTCAAGGCTCAAGCATAACTGGCAAGAACTCAAAATCCCAAGTTACAAAATACGCAAGAAAATTTAAGTTCCAAAATGAGACCAGCACCACTAGAAGCAGAAGCAGCGGCGGCGGCAGCAGAAGCAGCGAACATCAGTCATCTATCTCCACCACCACTCCATTCTAGAGCTCCATCATGTGATCCTCAAGTTCATAGCTGCAAATGGTGGCCTTACTCAAACTCAAATGATTTTGGAGCCAACACAGCTATGATCCTCATCATTCTCCTCTGTGCGCTCATTTGTGCTTTGGTTCTCAACACAACTATTCGATGGTTCTTGCGAAGCAATAACAACAACTCATCAGACCGCCTTGGCGAACTTGAGGAGCAGAGGAAACCCAAAGATGAGGCAGACATGGAAACGCTAGTGCTGGCTACGACACAGGTGTATTCTGCTGGAATGAAGCTTGGTGGGGTGGAGGCAGATTGCGCTATTTGCTTGTCAGAATTCGTGGAGGGTGAGGGGATTCGGGTGTTAGGGAGATGTGACCATGGATTCCATGTCCTTTGTATAGAAAAATGGTTGTCTTCTCATTCTTCCTGTCCTACTTGCCGCCGTAGTTGTCTTGCTTCCTCCTCCACTTCACCAGAACCTGACAATTGTGGCGCAGGAAATGGCCACGATAGCAACTCTTCTCAATCAGCAGAACCTGAAAGAGCTGCAGACAATCTGAACACTAATGGAAACATACCCGTGTAGCTGGTTCTTACAAAGGACAGATTTTTGGTTTTGTTTTCTTCTTCTGATTCTGTAATCTTCAGCTGCATATTTCTGCATTTAATCTCCTTCCCTTTCACATTCCAATCCCACCCATTTGATTTAGAAACCTCTGAAACATTACAATCTCTCAGTAAGAATTACAAAGGCCATGATCATGTAAGATAGCTCTTAAAGAAAATTCCAGTAAATGGGATTTCCTTCGTTTATGGTAAGGACACCAAACATGAATCTTATGTAGAACCAAAGCTAACATAGCTCAACTGATGTGCATATCCTTCTCCCCTTTAAAGGCCTCAAATTCGAACCCATGTCAATACAGAGTAGTTGAGATACTTATTATCCAATAAAACTTGTATGATGTTGAGTTCTTCAAACACATAGTCCCTTTCAGTTTCAAAGAGAATGAATCGATAGCGCTACCATGTATTGAATGTCTTTTGGCTAATGCCAAGATTCTGGTCCCGTTTGTTGTCTGTTGCTGAATGGTAAAGAAGCTTAGCGTTCAACTCACTCCCAGCAAAGAATTATTCTTTCATCGCTTTGCGTGACTGTTAAATTCCCTCGTTTCTAGCAAGCAACTTTTTCAAGCTTTTTCAATGAACTTTCTGTAAGAGGAATATGAGACGCTCCTTAATCATCTTATCTTTCAAAAGCATCAATGCAAATGTGCAATCTTTTCCTTTCCTTTGGAATTGCTTGGCCGCAAAACTGACCAAAACCCCTCACCCTGCTTCAACTACATTTCTCTGTGAATTCTAGTGATGGCAGAGATGTATGTACTGGACGTATTTCCACAAGTTTACTTGCATAAAAAATGAGGGCTTGCACACCTCCTTCGGCACAAGTCAGTCTAAGAACATCGCTACAGATTTCAATACTCACACGGACACAAACAAGTTCCAAAGAAAACAGAGAGAAAACTGAAAGACTAGTGATCGAACACATGTTATAAGAGTGAGAAAGAGAACAAATCCAACAAAATCAAAATCAAGCCAGACAAGCCATAATACTCAGTTTTGACAGTACAAAACCATAACGATAAAGGAGGGATGTGAAAAGGGGAAGATAAAACACAATTGCATCTCAATTCCTATGAACAATGGAGGGTCCTGCTTCATGGTATGCTGCCTTCGTTAATCAACGTCCACAAGCAAGCGACAGAACCCAAAAGAATCCAACTTGCAATCTACAATAAATTGCCTGAATAAAACAATGAGCACCATATAAACAAAAACAGAAAGTAGCACGCATGCCAGACCAAATAAAAAATGGAAGAGCAAGTAGTAGAAGAAGAAAAATAATTTACGTAGAAGCTCAGAACAGTATACTATGATTAATAAGCATGTGTAATGACCGATTCCTATAGTTTGGTCCTCTCTCCCTTATGTTTGCATGAGTAGAATAATGGGATTTCTAGTGACTTCAAGTTTTGTAGGCTTACAGGCTAGGAATCACTTAAAACGTATGAAATATCAAATATAACAATAAAAAGGAGAAACTAGGTATAGAACAGAATGATCATGGGAGAATATGATATATACCTCCTGGAAAATGCTGAAGGAAGCCAGCATAGCTCCTCTAATCCAAGCACTGTACTTTCTTTTCGCACTTCATGATTAAATCGTAAGTGATTTCATGAATTCGAGGTGCTTCCATGCCAATGAGTGATGGTTGAAATGGAACTTCAGGCCAACGGAAAAGCTCTGTACCAGTGGAGATGCCTGGCCATCATGTAGCTCATGGCTCTTCTCAATTGATGAGTTACTTTTAGCAGTTTCAATTTCCTGCTCATAATCAAAGGCCACATACGCAATCCTCTCCTTAATGTCACGAACAGTTTCCTGTTCAGCAGCTGCGGTGAATGAGTGCCTAATCACTGCAAGGATCATCGTCAAGGCATTTGTTATATTCCTTCCAGCAAGATCAATCGTTTGAATTGCATGAGGAACTGTATGGCGTTCATAGATGGGAACTGGGTGACTAACTCCACCCCCAGAATCCAACACAATACCTTGCAAGGATGGCAACTATAGACAAATTTGAAGAGAACGAGATAGAAAATGGAGAACGGTTCTCTGATATAAGAATTTGCCTCTGAAGAAAGCTGTTAGACTTGGTATTTGAATTTATTTTTTCATAAGTAATCCAATAATCTCTCATGTTTGTTGAGAATTTATAGCATTTTGAATTTGATTGTAAACCTTTAAATAGATATTCTTAATTTATAATATTAATTATCTTAGACTTCTCTACCTTTATTATTCATTTAAAACTACAAATTTCAACTATATTCATTTAAATTATAAATTTTAATAGTGATATCGAAGCTATATCTTATAGGATGTGGGGCAAGTTTTTTGAGTACTAAACATGGTAAGGTTGAGTGCTAAACATATAAAAGGTGAGTGTAAACACTAGAGATTTATTTTATTTACCAATTCTATATTTACTTTAAGCAACTTTGCATCTAGAATTCCAGTGTTTAATGGTGAAAACTATCATATTTACATTGTCAAGATGAGATTTTATCTAAGATCTCGAAACTTGTAGAATGTTGTAGTGTCTGATTCTGATCCACCACCATTGACAGCAAACCCCATAATTGCTCAAATGAAAGCACATGAAGAAGAAAAACTCAAGAAGGACAAAGTCATCACCTGCCTATATTCTGGACTTGCAGATCACATCTTCACCAAAATTATGGACTTGGAAACACCAAAACAAGTATGGGACAAGCTTTAAGGTGAATTTGAGGGTAGTAGCAGAGTTAAACTATTAGACCTTTTGCATTGAAAAGGGAGTTTGGGTTGATGAAAGTGAAAGATAATGAATCTGTCAAAGATTATTCTAGTAGATTAATGGATGTTGTAAACCAAATGAGACTTCTTGGCAAGGCTTTTACAGAATATAAAGATGTAGAGAAAATCATGGTTTCGATACCACAAAAGTTTGAAGCTAAAATTTTTAACGTGAAAGAGTCTTGTGATTTGAACAATCTTACTATTACAGAATTAATTAGCAAACTTCATATATAAGAGCAAAGGGTCCAAATGAGATATGAAGAGGTTATTGAAGGAGCTTTCCAAGCAAACACCAAGGAAAGGAGTTTTGGAAACTTGCAATGAAAGAAGTCTTTCAAGTTTATCAAGGGAAAAATTCAAATATCTTTAAGAAAACAAAATTACTCACCTTGCTCTCATTGCAAAAGAACCAACCATGCTAAGAAGGATTGTTGGTATAAACACAAACCTTCTTTCAAGTGCACATTCTGTAATAATCTCGGCCACAATGAGCAATATTGTAGAGCAAAGAAGAAATAATCTCAACAACATATTCACTAGCAAGCAAATGTTTTAGAAGAAGAAAAAGAGGATGGCGAGCACTTGTTTATGGCATTACAAGTTAATAGTTCTCATGAACAGAATATTTGGCTCATTGATAGTGGCTGCACTAGTCACATGACTAAACATCTAGTAATTTTTTCTTTCATTGATAAATCAATTCAACCAAAAGTCAAGCGGGGAAATGGTGATGTTTTACAGGCTAAAAGAAGAGGAATGATTGCTATCAGCACCAAAGAAGGTACAAAGATCATTAATAATGTTCTTTACATTCCTGAACTAGATCAAAATTTGCTTAGTGTTGCACAAATACTAAGAAATGGTTATGCAGTTTCCTTTAAAGAAAGGTTTTGTTTTATCTTTGATATACATAGATTAGAGATAGCAAAACTCAAAATTGATGGTAATAGCTTCTATTTGAAGCTTGATGCAGTTGAAGGGCATGTCTTTTATACCAAAGTTGATAAGAGTATTATGTGGCATAAAAGATATGGTTATTTCAACTTAAAGTCTTTAAAGTTTATGCATGATGCTGGTATGGTAGATGATATACATAAAATCCATGTCAGTGACCAAACTTGTGATAGTTGTGAGCTTGGGAAGCAATATCGACAACTATTTCCTCAAAGTATATCCAAAAGAGCCACTCACATCCAGAGTTAGTCCATTCAGACATCTATAGACTAATAAGCATAGCTTTATTAAGTAATAATCTGTATTTTATTCTTTTTATTAATGATTTTAGTAGGATGACTTGGGTTTATTTTCTGAAAACCAAGTCACAAGCACTTTCTATGTTCAGCAACTTCAAGAAAATGGTGGAAACTCAATGTGGTTAAAAAATTAAGAAGCTTAAAACTGATAATAGAGGAGAGTATACTTTAAAAGAGTTTAGTGTTTTTTGTTAAGAAGCTGGAATTGTGCATTAGCTGACAGTTCTATACTCACTATAACAAAATGGAGTTTCATAGAGGAAGAACATGACTATAATGGAGATGACAAAGTGCATTCTATTTGAAAAGAAGCTACCAAAGTTTCTATGGGCTGAAGCTGTAAACACTTCAGTTGACTTGCTCAATAGACTACCAGCAAAGTCTGTTCAAGACAGAACACCATCAGAGGCATAGTTTGGTGTTAAGTCTATTGTCAGACATCTTAAAGTATTTGGATCATTATGCTACTTTCATGTGTCATCTGTTAGAAGAGGAAAACTTGATGAAAGAGTTGAAAAAAGAATTTTTGTGGGATATGCGACAGAATCTAAAGGTTACAGGATATTCAATTTGAGTGTAGCTAAATTTCAAATTAGCAGAGACATTCATTTTGATGAGAATTCCTACTGGAAGTAGGACTTAAAGGAAATTGATCGCACAACCACAACTGCTCTTGAACCAGTAGTATGAGAAACTAGAGATCAACTAGACATTAAAGGAACTTCAGATACAGTAATACTTAAGGTGAGACCTTTATCTGATGTATATAAAAGATATAATCTGGTGCCTACAAGCTACATTAAGGTTGCAAGATTTCCAGCTTGGATTGATGCTATGAAGTCAGAAATTGATTCCATTAAAAGAAATAGAACCTGGAAATTGACAGAACTTCCACAAAACAAAAAGGAAATTAATGTGAAGTGGGTTTTCAGAACCAAATTCAATCCAAAAGGTTTTATTTTTAGACACAATGCTAAATTGGTTGTTAAAGGCTTCGCTCCAGTTGCTGGAGTAGATTATAGTGATACTTTTGCACGAGTTGCTAGGCGTGATACCATTAGACTTCTACTTGCACTTGCGAGTCAAAAGGAATGAAAAGTGTATCATTTAGAAGTCAAGTTTGCTTTTCTGAATGGGATACTTCTTGAAGAAATTTATGTTTAGCAACCAGAAGGCTTTGTACTTACTAGTCATGAACACAAAGTGTATAAGCTACACAAGGCTTTTTATGGCTTGAAGCAAGCACCAAGGGTCTGGTACAACAGAATTGATACTCATTTGATTCAACTGGGATTCAAAAGAAGTGAAAATAAAGTTACT